GGGGGGGGGGGGGGGGGGGGGGGGGGGGGGGGGAAGGGGAGAGGAAAAGTTATTGAGGTCTTCAGCCTAAAAATATCTTGTCCAGCGCAAGCCTTTATGTTGAGAAGAGCAGTTCTCTTCTTCTCCCACTTCGAAGTAATTCTGCTCAACAGCATCGAACCACGGTCACGGATCAGACTTGAGTTTAGGGGACCTGTACCTAGTGGAGAATCAGGATACCAAGAGTTACAAAAAACATTGCATAGCGTTGCCACTGCCTTCATTAAACGTACTGTGACGAGTCCATAAAATCCTTCGACCTCTTCCCTTTGATTGCATCGCACTCAGGCAGGGAAATAAGAATGGTGATATGTGAGGACAATGACGAGTGTGAGCGAATTATAAAAACGGGTTGTGGACTAACAACCGTCATTAATAAGTGGGATCACCTCCAATGATTACGCTATAACCCTTCCTGCTCGAATGATGAAGACTTAACGAATACCAATGCTCCTTCCATCAACAGCAGCAAAAACTTTTAAACTATTATCACTAATTAAATAACTTGGCCCTGGAAAGTAGTGAATATCTCTAAAAAGGGAAGTAGCAGGAAGCTACACCTATTTGTGCCGAACACGACATTATCCAAATCCACTGGGAAGTTGTTGAACACTTGTACTGAAGGTGAAAAAGACTGACGTATGGAGCGTGCAACAGTGTATACTAGCTAATGTATACTAAATTTGAACAAAAATGGTTCGAATACGGTTCCAAGCAAAAGTCTCTCCTCACTGCAGAGTTAGTGGTTTTGCACTGCGAAAGCAAAAGTGCCATAGATGCATCTCTGAACGAGAACTGAAGACCATTCAACATCTACGTGTTGTACAAAAATATAGCAGATTTCCTGCTCCCTAGACACGCACTTGAATTGCCTTTACATCATATTATGATAAAAACCTTTCTTTTTGGAAAAAAATTACGGGATCGCCCTGATTGGCAAAAAACCTAAGTCATAATGATCCCCATCGAAACGAACGAAGATACCAACCAAAGTTGTTTGCTAACGCTGAAAACATGCCAGTATATAGACATAACCAAATAATCTACCAATGAAAAACTCACAAGGAAATAATGTTTAAAACAACTTCTCAGAAAACGACTTCATGGAAAGGTAAAAACATTGTACCCAAAAGTTTGCAAATTTTTCCATGTCATGAAAAATGAAAGGTAGTTGGGCAAAATAGAACTCACCAAGGTTCCAAATACAAAGAAAACATACTTCATTTCATAAAATAATACACCCCTAACCAATTCCATGGCTACGAACTGCGTTGTGAAAATTTTGCCGTATTAAAGGTTAAGCCCGAGAAAGACAATCCACGTGATTGAAGTAAATGTTCGGGAGTGGGCGACGGGAAAAGGGACCCGCAAGAGAAATGGTTCAATTTTACGTAACTAAACATTTAATAGTTCAAAATAACACAGCTATGTGTAAGAAAAATAATTCTTCATCCCCACAGTCGAATTCTTCTTGGATGCTAATCGTGGTCATGCCCTACAACCCATGTCGGGAGGAGCAGCTCACTCGTTTATGAAGATGGATTTCTTACCTACAGATTTATGATATGCGAAGACTTTTTCAGCAATTTAGTATTCAGTACTAACGTTGGTGACGAGCACTAGCACAGTATCCACCCAGAACGATTTTAGGCTTGTTTGAAAGGTCATTATTATAATAAATGCTCCCATGATTAAACCTCTGCACTCCACATGACACTGCAATGCGTCATCTCAAGATTTCCACTTTCCCACCACTTACACTGTATGTGCTTCACATTTCGCCACTTTGTAACGTAGTCGGTGCTTCTACTGCTGGTTGGCAGAACTATCTCACGCCATAA